TCGTGAGGGACGAATTTAAAAAATTTTCCAACAGTCCACAGGGAGCTGTTCCGTGGCAAAATCATCAATCTAATAGATTAGAATAAATATTCCAGTTCCACAATAGCATATTATTTTAGTTATACTTAGCCACGCAGTTGATGTATAAATAATATGAAAATAACATCTATTTATAAATGTACTTTTTTTTCATAATGTAATGTTAACATAAATAACTATTATTCAGTGTATGTTGTACGTAAGTAAGAATAACTAAAAATAAATAAATACTTGTGCTTACTTTATTTTTCTTGAATGTTGTAAATTGTTCTATTAAATTGTATTAAAATCGTAAATTAATAAAATACAGATTCCAGTGTTGAGTTCAAACACAAAATAAATATCTAGCTAAAATATATCAGATGACTTACTACATTATAATAAATATAATACGATATTATGTGTATATGTACCTTTTCATTTAGGTTAATATGATAATATTAAGATAGAATATTTTATTTTAATTTAGGTAATTATCTACCTACATGTTAATAATTCAAATTTTATAGACACTAACTAGATACCTATTACTCTACAGTCTACACTGACAGGTACGCAACAAATTAACAATTAATTTTGAAATTTCATTAATATGTTGAATAGGTATACTACTTACCACTTTTATTATTCAGGTTATTTGATATAAGCTTCCATACATTGTCCCTTATTTGTTGATCCTTGTAATTGGCATTTTTTAAGTCAAACAAACATGGATGTTCTCTTACCGATTCAGCCAATAGTATGTCTTCTTCTATTGTGAATGACACTTTTGAAGACATTTTGTGTCACACAGTGTAACGAAATGTCGAACTTTGAAAATTAAAATATGAATATTAGCCGCGCGGCTCGTGCGATTTGACTGCCCTCGAAGCGGTCGTCGCCGCGCGGCGCTAGACGCGCGCGACCGCCACGCGCGGCGGCCGCGGTCATAGGAATCGGTTATACTTAAAAACAAGTAAAGTAGTACCTGCGCGGCTAAAATTAAATCGCGCCGCGTCAGCCGCGCGTCTCTAGACGCGTGCATAGGAATCGCACCTTTAAGGAATGTGACAAACGATAGAGATATACTATGGCTATTACGACAAGGCGCATTCTTTAGATGAAAAAAACCATCCATTCGAATTTCATGAAAGTTATTTAATTATGAAAAACTAAAACTAGTATCTAAATACTCAAGAAATATATGATTTATAAAACTAATATTTGAAAGTTTTTTAATTAGTGCAAATATACATTTAAACTAATTTAAATATTTATTTACTTTACCCATTACTGGCATTTTACCACTGCCCACTGGTGGTGGTAGAATTAGCTGTGAGAACACAGTATTAGCAGGAGCACCATTTGAAGGTTCCTGTCTAGCAACTTTTGATAATGTAGAAAATAAACTAACGAATGCACTAGAAAATCATTACCACCTATTACGGCAGTAATCAATTAAAACCTAACCCAAACAAAACATAGGTACTTAGGCTACTTCCACCTACGAAACCGTGACGCTAAGAAACGCCTTAATTTAGAATGGTTATAGCCTATAGGTAACATAGGGAGTTACCCGTTTCCGCTCTAGCCCTTTTCCGCCAAAAACGAAGAAAGTACTATTCACGTTACAGCCAAAGACGTTTCCATCAAAAAAAAGTTCGGAAACCAAAGGTTTCAGTTTTTTAAGCAGTATGTAGTTGTGGTATGTTTAAAATATATTGATGTAACATGTAATGGAAATGACATATTTTGTAAATAACTGCGCAAACCAAAAGTATAACAATATACCTATACAGCGATAATCTACGATAATTATTGATAATCGTCGAGAACGGAAGCATTAACTGTATCATAGTTTATTTATAATTCGTACACAATAATTATACGACAATTGTTAAATTCTTATAATATTTCGAATCAGTACCTTGTTTTGTTTGCCAAACAGTTAATACAGTTCAAATCTATGCTTATATTATAGCTTATTTTTTTTGTGACATTTAAAAATATTTAAAAATAAAAATTATGAGATTTTTTGAAAACTCTAATTTAATAGTGCCTACATTTGACTAATGCGTTATTATTGTTACTTGTATTTTAATTTGAAATATCCAAATATTTAAATGTCATGGATATAAGTGATATGAAATTATATAATGATAAGCATATTTTTATATGATAAAAATATGCTGCATTTGTACATTGTTCCCAAATAATTATGTGCGGAAACGTCTTTTCACAAAAATAAATTCTGGAATCGTACCTTTTTTGTTTTTGGCGGAAAGGACTACGCGTTAACTAGAGAACTAGTTTTTTGGGCAGAAACGGGTCATGCCCGTAAAATACTGCTGAGTACTAATTACTCTTTTTACATAGGCGTTACCCTAGAGGCCTAGATAGAACTTTGACATTTGAAGATCATTGTTTCAAAACTAAAATGAAAGTATCAGCAAAGAGTAATTTACTAACTCCTAGGAACCCAATGGGGAGCACGGTCACACAACATGCGAACATCTGGAGAATATGTATTTCCAATATGGTCAATATGGAGCCAATCTAAAGTCTAAGCTCTCCAAACATGTATCCGGATCACTGAACGATACCTGCAGGATCATAGCTGGATGTCTTAGGGAAATACCTATTTACAAGTTATTCTTTCTAGCGAGCATTCTTCTGCCTGAAATTAGAAGACGTGTAACCACCGACATTGAAAAAACCAAACAAACAGGTGACAAAATACACCCTATGTTTGGACATGAAATCACAAGGACAAGACTTAAATCCCGAAGAAGTTTCATGCATAATGCACTAGCCTACTCAACAACTTCCGTTTGGAGAACACTTGCCATGGCCACTGTGAAAAGCCATAAATAGATTAAGAGCTATAAGAGTGTCACAAATCTAACATGGTAAAATTTGGCTTTGGTGATGAGGACGGAGCTTGTGAATGTGGAGAGCAACAGACCGATGTATACCTTTTACCATGTACCATGAGTTCAGCACAATGCACAAAAAATGATCTGACAGTTACAAACATAAATGCTCTAGAGGTCTTACTTACTGGCCACAGTACAAAATTTTCGACGTTACCATATATGTGGTTTTTATTTATTCAATCTATTGAATTGGTTACCTAATTTATTCGTTTATTTTTTTACATTATATAATGTTGTGTTTATTACGTATTATTATTAATTTTTCCTTATTTCCTTTTTAAAATTATAATGTTTGTAGTTTATACATTATTAGCACTATTTTTTTGGCATTTTAAAACCGGACTCGACAAGAAGACTCATTGCTGTATTTTTTTCAACACCAGCTTATAATTTGTTTCTTCTCACTATGATTCAATATACACGAATAATGGAGTTTATCAAAACAATACATTACCATATTATAACGTATGCACTATCCGATATACCACATCTTCTTTTTTATTTAATCGTCTAAAGATTTAAACTATATTTCGGTGCATACAAGTCGCCTCCTAAAATATACGAATGCTCGTCGTAAATACAAAAGTAAATATACACGAGTTGCCTCCGATGATCAGGTAGTTCATAATTATAAAGGATGATCAATTTAAGAAGGTATACTAATTATTTCAAGGAGTATCAACTTTTATTGAATTTTTTTAAAAAATTTTTTAGATTTATGCTTTTCTAAAAGTATATAATATTTAAATTGTTTTCACCCTTATATTTATTGGTGAAACCACTATCAACTTTTGATTTTCAAATGGGAACATATGAAAAAAAGATCATAAATTTAAAAACTATTTTCTTTTATGAATTTTCGAGTTAAAATTTTTATTTTTCGTTATTTTGTTTGCGATATACAGTTCCTCAAAGTTTGGTGGTTTAAAGAGGTGTTATAGTCGATAATACAACAAATATCTAGTTGTCCAAACAACCAGTTTTCTACTAATCATCCGTCGTAATTCGGTATGTCTAATTAGTCGATAGGCTAATAAATGATTTAGGTTCAAAGTATAATTTAGAAAAGCATAAATCTAAAAGTTTTTAAAAAACAAATTCAAAAAACATTAATACTTTTTGAGATAATTAATGTACCCTCTTGAATAGATCATTCTGTATAGGTACCTCACATTTAGAATTAAGTAATGGTTCATAAACTTCTCTAAAATATACCACGTAAATAAATGTATAACATCGTTGTTTTAAGTAGACATATAAAGAACTTCATACCTATGAACTAAAATAATTAAACTGTTCAATACATTTTTTGGTATTTAAAATTATGCGTACAATTAAAAAATGTCAGTCTTAGGTATATATTATATTATTATGTACATTAATATAAATATTACGTAACTATTTAAAATAATAATATAATTAATCAATAAAAAAATATTTGGTAATATAATTAAAATTATAAATATTATATAGTATAAACATATGTATTAAATTGAATCGTTTAGAAACCACTTATTAATTTAATACCTGCCCATTGGGAAGCAACTAGTACTAGACCATTTTTTTCTTAGATACAATTTAGGGTCATCGGGAGGAAGTTCATAAAAATGTTATCGGCTTTATCGGTTCACTCTTTTAGATTAATTTTTGAAATGTTATTCCTACAAATATTTCTAAAAGCTTTCGCACATTTTTTCTTCATTTTTAGACTTTTAAGTTAATTTAATCGAACGAAATATTAATTTTCATTTTAAAAAGCTAAGTTGTTACAATCTTTTATTTCCAATTGCCAATAGAATCGCATAATAATGCAATACTAAAATTATTTCTTGAAGAAATAAAACTGGTTAGATACAGGTGTATATCGAAATAAAGTTATAAAACTTAGTTCTAATTTAAAAGCTACCAAAAATATTTGTTTGTTTTTCAAAAATATATTTCTATACTACATTGGTGTAAAATATTCTAATTATAATTTGAAGTAAGTAAATTAATATTATAGGTATACAAAATTAAATTACGTCCAAGTACGTACATTACATTTCAATTGCATAAAATTACTTTGTTTTATTATAATACGAACACAAATACTTATAAAGGTAATAATACATTACTAAACTCTATATTGCACTTAATTTCGATATGGTATTATTTCAAAACATAAACAATAAAAGTTATAATAATAAAAATGGCGTATAATATGTTATTATTTTCTATCACAGTTTTAATTTATTCTTTAAAATGGAAGGAAAATAACATTTTTAATTAAATAGTCAGATGATTACAACATTTGGATTTGGTGGGCTAAAGGTCTAATTAGACCTACATGCTCGGCTCCTTTGGCTGGAAGCTTGTTCAGTGTATAATGTTTAATGAGATCAGGTATAGTTTCAAAAGGTCTATCCGATTGGCCCAAATAATTTCTTTCTCCAGATTGTGTTATCCTCATGTGAATAAAACCTTTAGCACTCCTGAAAAAAAAAATTAGACATTGCATAATTTGCTTAGTTAATACAAACATTTTTACATTTTTAAAGTAGTATGCTTAAACTTAAAACTAAAACTCGTGCGTTTTCTAAGAAGCATAACATAAATAATAAATGATATAAGCTTGTGGTTGGGAATTTTATGATATTAAGTTCTTTATAATATTTTGTTTATGATACGCTTTATTTGGTATTATTTATTATTAAAATTCCGGGTTGATCGAATAATCACTAAACACTTAATGAATCAATAGCGAGCCCTTAAACATGATTTAGTGAACTATAATTTTTTCATAACATTTTAGTGAACCATTAAATGAATCAATTGTTTATGCATCCTGGTATACATTATTCTATTACTGTATAACTGTATCAGAATTGTTATTTATTATGAATTATGATTATATAACAATGATTTTCATTTATTATAACTCAACGTTTTATTGTATTATTAATTATTTACTAACTAGTAAGACAGTGAGTAGTAATTTGGGTTATTGAGGATAACATATTTATTGTCAGAAGTGCGAGTTGGAATCACAATAAATTACAGCCAACCGTGCTAACCACAGCCGACAACACATCCTCACACTAGTCACACTTATTAGGCATGTGTTATGTATTTCTGCTATAATATAGGTAATAAAAAATGTTAAATTTCTTTTGCGTTAATAAATTAAATAATATAATGTGTCATGTTTTAATTTATGATTAAACGACGGCAGTCTTTAAGTATACCTAAATAAATATAGGGTACATTTTTCTATTGCCACCGCTGACAACGACCGGGGTTAGAGACATGCAACGACTGGGGTCTGGGAATGCTTGCGCATTTCTTCCCCTAAACCAGTAGCGTACACAGAATTTTTTTCGAAGGAGGAATAATAATTTTCTAGAAATTACATACTACTGCATGATACTATGTGTAAAGACTGAGTAATTTATTTTATAAAAACACTTTCTCGTGAAAGAAAATTCGAGGAGATTATTACTCCGTGACCACCTCCCTCAGTGTTTATCGCTACCCAAAACTTTACTAACCATGCTTGTTCTCAATTTTGTCATGCCTAAACTTTAAAACGTACATTTTAATGGAAATTAATAATTAAACTTTTAAAATATTTACATAAATTATCTCTATACATTTTTTGTTGTAGATTTTGAAACACGAAATAAACATTTTAATTTACACGCTGGTATCTTATCATATAACACGTTATATACTTATGTACATTTTTTGTTATAGTGCAAGCCATCTCATTATTATTTTATACTTTCTTTCATGTTAAGCTACATTTTTAAGTTATTATGTAATTGTATCTGTATAATATAATATGTTTAGTAGTTAATTTCCGAGCTTTAATAATCCATTACTAATAGCTAAGTAAAGTAAGAATAAAAAAAAAATATTTACATTTTTTTAGTTTGGATAATTTAGGCACCTAAATCAGAAATATTAAGATAAAATTGCAGTAATAAATGTGGTATATTATTTAGGATACCTATAGGTACGTATTGGATTTTATTTGTCAGTTTTTATTTTGTTATTAATAGGTACACCAATACAATAACTAACCTAGTAATATGTACAATTTACCTATATATTGCATTTACTTAGGGTTGTTCTTACAATGTCCGGTTAAAGTAAAAACGGTCACTTAACCGGCGGAATTCTGCCGGTATTAAAATCTGTTATCAGCCGGTTAGCGTTAACCGACACTTATGTCTGCGGTACATTGTAGGAAACAGCCCTAGTAGTTAGTTTAAATGTATGATACATTTATAGGTACTATTTAAATGTATAGTATTAATATGTACATATATAGCATGCCTTAAGTCGATTTCCGTGATTACTATCCAATTTTGCATTATTGTCAATCAAATACCTATATGTTGGAGGAAAATTAAGTATTTTTACAGCATAAAACTCGTAAAAGAAATGTTTCATAAAGCATCATCATATTAGAAAAAACATGTATGATTTTAAAGTGATATATAATTATTTTTATTCACAATATTATTTGTGAATCATGTTTGCTCTTAACATACAATTTACATACTTTATTGATAACGCATATGATGCCTTGTTCCCTCTTACTAAATAGGTTCCTTCCTTTTGACCATGCAAAGCTTTTTCAGCTTCAAGTCTGTTCATAGGTCCGTGATACCAACTGAAAAAAAAATATTAATTTTACCGATAGTTATTGATTATTATTACTACCTACATAACACTAATTTTAGATACATCAGTACTTAAACTGTAATATACCTATGGCCAATGGGTATACGTTATAGTCATGTTTTGTTTTTAACGTGATTTAGATATAATTATAGTAAAGGCTAAAGAGTGAAAACACATTTCGTATGCCATTTTATTTATTTTATTGACTCATACATTTTTAATGACTATTTTTCCTTATATTTAAACGTAAATATAACTAAATTTGATTTATCTTTTATTCAACCGAAGTTTAAACTTAACTAAATCTATGCAGGTATATAGGCATATCGTATACCTCTATAGTCTGTACTATGTTCATATTCTGTAGATACTCGTGGCTACAATGTTATCTGCTATATCCTACATGTGACTATTGCAACATGCCTATCATAGTGGTACCTACTTTATAATAATACTATATAATAAACACTATTAAACTCATATATACCCACCTAGCTTCTCTGCCTTAATTATTTAAATTATTAAAATGATTAATGGAAATTAGTGATTCAACTTTTGAAATATGCTTATAAATTAGCTCTATACATGACCTCTACTATTTTTAAGAACAGCATAGACCAACAATTTAAAAAAAGTTTATTTTGAGTTATAGTAAATAACTATAATAATTGTGGATCTATAAAATACTATAGTCATTATCTGATGTTGTATTTTAAAAAACTTGGGAACCATCTGTCCATCTATATGATATGCTATGGTTGAATGGAACAATAAAAATAATATATAACCACCAAATAAATATTTGCAATGCAAATAAAAAGTATAGTTATCAGGATTATGACCTATGAGTAATAATATTAATATTATGAGCGTTGTCTGTGGTTGTACACTCGTAAGAATAGCCTCTTCTTCAATCCTTTTTTAAAAGTCGTAAAAAGTAAACATTTAATATTGGTGGTTTATTTAATTCATACAAAACTATGTATTATGAAAAACCCTTAAATCCTTTAAATCTCTGTTAAAATATAACATATAAATCAATAATATAATATGTTTCATAAAATCAATAGAACGTAGTGTTTCAAGACGATCGCCATTCAAGTATTAACTACGTCCGACATTCCTTAACTTCGGTGATCAGACGAAAACGGTATACATTCAACGTTGTGTGGTCGTTGGAAAATGAACAATAAATAATAAATATAATAAGTCCTCAATATTTTTTAAATGAAATATAATTGGTATGCTCAAATGTTTTTAATTTTTTAATTATTTTATTATATGTATATATTTTTATATCTATGATCTGTTGTTCGAATAATTTAAATATGGCTCTCAATAAGGTCTTGAGAACTTGGCCCAGGAGAAATTTAATATTATACTTTGAATTTTCAAGTTTAAGCTATTGAAAACGTTATGCGTTTTTAACTGCCTAAAACATTTTGTTAATACTAATATTAAAACACATACAACGTATTCAAAATTTAAAATTATCAAAAATGTATTAAAAACACATGTTTATTGACACATGTGTTGAGTGTAAATAATAGAACAATACACCCATGGCCACAATCAATATTAACTTTAAAACAAGGTTGGAATATACGTTTATATTTATTAGATTATAGTGGTTTGTCCAGTGTCCATTATTACGTTCCGACATTGGTATGTGCACCTATATTTTTATTATTATTCGATTATAATAATAAATATACCTACTATATGAACACCTTAACGGTTGGTCTGATAAAAAAAAAATCATTGAATGAAAATATAAGTTAATGGCAGGCATTATAGGAGCTCAATAAAGTTGTGTAAGATACACACAAAATAAAACTAGACACTAAGGTTTTTTGTTATCGGTTGAAATTATATGATATTATTGTTTGTGTAATAATGGACATACTGTTCCTATTTATTCAGTTGTAACTTATAATTCATGTTTTAGATTTTTCTTAATATTAGAAAAGCATACATTAATTTATAATACACGAAGAAATCGAAGAATGAAGATCATTAATGAATCGAAGTATTGAAAAAAAAACCCTGAGCGTATTATAATTGCATGTTATGCGAGTGTTACCACGAAATTTGGGATTTTATTGGGCTGGTCGCTGGTATAGGTATGCTGCTATACTATCCCACAAGACCTGAATACCTTATAAGCTCCTTACATTAAAAAAAAAATATAGTTCTGAAATAGAAATAATGTTATAAATTGTACTTATATGATGAATATATTTTTAGGGGGTTCTCGAAATGGATAAAAAACATAAATTAGACACAGCAATTAACATTTGGTTAATGACACCGCTGCAATTAAGTTCATAATAACACAGGCAATAGACATAAAATAGTAGATACATATTCTTACTACAAATGCTACTATTTGCTGCAAGGTGACAAAATATCTAACTATACATTATTGGTACAAATGTTTTAACTGCCATTTTTAGTTAGTATTATATAGGTAGGTTAATATACTAATATAGTAATATAAGAACTAATTGAGAAGGGAAATTAACGTGCATATTTTAAGAATATTTTGGGCGGTTGCTTAAGTGTTTATTATAATTTATAAGGCTATTTGCAAAACTGCTGAAATGACTCACAGACATAAACAATGGTTTTAAAAAATACCGGTGAACTCGCTCTGCTGTATAGACGATGTCGAGTATAACTACGAGATTTAGTAAGCACTGTAATGTGAATGTATTGGTTGAGGTGGTTTGTCTGTCTAAATTCTAAGGATTCAGTTAATTTTTGAATTCCAACAATCGACTTTGTTGAAATCTAGTCTTGTGTAAAAATTCTTGTTTTTTTCCAAATTATATTGAAAAGTACCCATTGTTTAATTTTAAATTTTAACCTTCCCTCCCTCCCAATATAGGTGCCAACTAGATCCAATTTTCTACCAAAAACCACTCCCAAATCTTAAGATTGAAGCAGTGTTACAGTTCCATAAGGTGACTGGGGGGGCACAAAAAAATACACATAATTTTAATTGGTATCTAAATCTTTTATTGTTTTTAAAAATAAATTTATTATTTACATAACTAGAAAATATTACAGATACATTTATTACCTATTCATACAGATGATAGAAAGATACTATTAAAAAAATGTGAAAAAATTATGAGTTACTATTTTTACTCAACGGTGTTACTTCGATCGTAAGCTAATTTATTGCCAAAACTAAATTATTTATGGTGTTGTTTTATTTGCTTATATTATTTCATCCATTGTATTGCTGTGGTATTAACATATGGGGTGATTTTTTCCCTTATTTAAACTTTAAAATGTAATGTTTATCGTACGATGTAGGCTACGATGTATGTGTATCGTATCCTTGTATTTTAATAATGAATAATTGTTTTTTATGGGGCTCCTTTGGGGATAGGTAATTTATAGTTCAATTCAACAATGATGTTTAATATTTATCATTAATAACGTATTTATTATATTTACTGTTGTTATAATTATAAATTACAACGTATATAGCCATTTAGGTAACAGTTCTACGACGGTTATTTGAGAGGTATTTGTGAACATTGTATACAGTATATTGTATTTGCAATGAACACATTTGTACCTACCAATATGGGTTTGAAAGTTGAAACTTTTAGCATTGTGCTGTTATTTAAATATAAATTAAAAGTATGAATGACAATTGTATACGCCTGTGTAATTAGTTATACAATATTCCAATATTCATAATATAGATATTAATCAATCTAACATTAAGTCGTCTCAGCTTGTAAAAATTTTAATTTATGAACCTGAATGACGAATCCAATACCTAGAAGATTTAATTACGAGTGTTCCACATAATTCAGCTTATTCTAGACTTTACAGTACTCACGTCGCTTAAATATCTAGCTCTATTTACTGTGATTAATAATTTATTTAGTTTAACATTAGAATTTCCAAAATTAATTTTATCAAAAAAAAACATATTTAAGTGGGTTCATACACAGCTAAACATGGTTTAAAAAATGGCTACCACACGATTTCGCATCACAATATACCTTTTTATCTATCAGATGCAGCACATTTTCGTAATACAATAGATTTTTTTTATTCAGTCGGAATTAAATACGGACATTTTTGCCAGTTATGGGGGAAAAAATAATATTGAATAAAACAAATAATTATAAACAAAGTATATAGAAAAATGTATTTCAATTTTTTCCCTTAATTTATAACTGATTTATAATTAGGTAACCTGAAAAATATGGTAGTTCTATTTTTATGTATAAAATAAAATAGGTATAAATCATTTTTATATAATTTTAATTTTCAAACTCTATTGTTGAAGTAAAATTAATATAGTTAGAAGAGCAGCGTCACTTTAAAATTTGATAATACGAATTTCTAAATTATTAATTTTGAATTATAAATTTCCAACAAATGTATAAGTCAACAGTAAAACACAATAATGTGATTGTAATATACTTACGAGTATATATGTAAGTAATATTAAACAAATAATTGATGAGTTCAGACAAAACATATTATGTTATACACTGTAGAAATTAGATGAGCTACTATTTGGAGAAAAATCAAAATAATGTTATAATATGACTTAAATGTAATATTAATATTAACATTTGTATGACTAAAATCATTTTTTAATTACAATCGGCGACGTCGCAAATTAGTTTTGTGCGGATTCGTGTGAGTGAAAAGGTATATCGGTACATGCGGAATTGAGAATCGCCGTAAAAAATCATGCCTGTTGGCATTATATTAAAGAGATACTAGACAACCAGACTTCTAAAAAAAGATAATTCGTTAGTTTTCTGCTGAAAACCAATGTCATTAGAATTTAAATTTTAAGCGCACACACATAAAAAATTAGATTGACTTTCCAGGAAACTTTTTTTTAAAGGTAGGAAAATTATGAGAAATATTTTATTCAATTTTCAAATTTAAGTTATAAATTATAAAATTTGTATGAGTTTTTAACCCAAAATAATTTTGCAAATT